GAAGGGCAAGCAGGACCTTCCAAAAAAAATATAGTTCAATAGTAGGCCAAGTTTCCACAGTAGACATGCTGCCTCCTTTCCTAACAATGGCCAGCTGGGGGTTCTACCCACGAAAAACAGAATTCACCCTTGGGAAGAAACTTGTTTTCGCGATTTGGTTCTCGCCGAAATTGTGACCAACGGTTCTAACTGGGCCGATTCCATTGGTCCCGTACCTACCTTTCAGCTTGCTGCCATGTAGAGCATGCGCATTCCTTCATCCTTTCAGGCCATCGTCTTTCTGCAGTGACGAACATTGGGAACCCCCAAGCATTGGAGGAATAAAAATTCCAAGCCAAGCAACTTGGCGGCACATCTACTGCAACACAATCTGTTGTTCGCGCTTGCTCTCATTCGAATCGGCCTCAAGCACACTCTGATTTGAACTAGCTTGATGGAGAAGCTTGGTTTTTCAGTAACCCCGGGCCTTACACATCTTATCGCATAGGTGTCCTTTTTGGTCAAATAGATGGCAAGGGTGAATGGAAGCAATTTCAAAACCGGTGCCATCTGTTTCTAATCAACCCTGGAAAGGACGCCTCATCGCCTCATCACCAGGCCACGAGCCGCAACGTCCAAGGCGAGGCCACTGAAGCCGCGGCCGCCGAAGAAGAAGATATCCTCGGACCTGGACGCTCGCTGCTGCTGCAGGCTCCGCAGCCTCTGCCGCAAACCTGCGGCCGAACTTGCGGGCAAGATTCGACCCCGAAACCTGAGTTGCCTGTTTTGGCTGCGGAGGCTGTGCCGGACGCAATTGGAAAGCTTAGTGAGGACCAGCCGCGCAACAGCAGTGCAGGACCTGCGTGCTAATCATGCACAGCACGTGGCAAACAACAAGCGCCAATGAACCTTTGGCCTTTCACCGAAGGAAACTCGAAGCGCTGTTAGAACATTGGCTCAGGCACGGACACTGGTGCACCACAGCGCTGGCAGCGCCCAGGCGACCGAAGGCAAGATGCCCCATTGCAGCCAGCTCCTTGAACCACAATAACCATCTGATTGCCCAGCGGACGGGCTGTGAACAGGTGCTAAGTAAAGGCTATGCCGCACGGTGAAGTAGAAGCTTGTTGGGATTGCAGCATCTTTGAAAGCCACTGACAAGTGGCTGCATTCATGCGAGCACGGATTACTGGGTATAATTGCCGACCTGTTCCTGCAACAATTGATGGTGGTCAGATCTGCAAAGCGAGGTGCGCCCGAACTGAAATGGCAACATGCCGCATGTCTGGGTCGCAGCTCGTTGGTTCGCAAGGACGAACCGAAGCGAACCTAAATAGTTCCCAAAGCTGGCTGCCAAAGCATGCTCAGTCCAAATCTGGCGAGTTTTCAGGAGGCGAAGCTGGTACTGGTAGTGAATGACTCAGGCTTGGTGTGCTGTGCGGGTGAGTTAAAGCTTTCCAGATTTAAGAGTCTACTCCCAACTTGTCACACCATGAAAACACATATTCAAACAAAGCCTTTAGACACGATGTGCCTCAAAGCCATGAGGGGAGCAACACGTCAGCCAGGCGAGGGCATGCTTCGGAATCTTGCCGGACTTTGCAGGCAAGGCTCGACAACAATGTCCGCACAGCCGAGCAGGTCCAACAGCTGGGCCCTGCCGCGCTAGCATTGTGGAGTGGGCTTGTCTCAAAAGCAGACCCCAAATTGGTTTCTTTCCTTTTTGACTTTCATACCTCTAGAAACCAGGCTGCAGGATCTACAGGACGAGTGACTGGGACACCTGCCGATCGCCGAGCGCTATCTCTCCTTCGCTCACGCACCAAGCCGGTCGATCCTCGGTTCCAAAGGCCCTGTCGTGAGCGGAGGGCTCCGGCGGCGAAACCTGACAGAAACTGTTGCGCGCATGAGTGCCAAGCTGGGAGCCAAAGAGGATGGACTACGTTCTGCACCACCTAAGAAACTCTGGAATGATGCTTCCCCTGCAAATGCCAACGAACAATCAACAACGGTTTCCCATGGTTCGAAAGTGGTGCAGGACAGGACTTCGTCCATCCACAGTGCCGTAACTTTAGTAACAGCAACTGATTACCCCACTCAAGCCCAACCACACACACACACAAAAACGGCATTCTCTTGAACCATCTGGTATCCGGATATCAATTTGAGGATAGAGCAGCTTATGCAAAGCGCAAAGAAACCAATAGCCACAGCCTTTCAATACTGTGGGAAGAGGTGGCCAATGCAGTCAATGAGGTAAAAATGGTTGGGGGAGCGCACACCCACTCCCTTCCGCGAACCCAAGCGAGAAAAAGTGGGTTCCCAGAACAGGTTCCGCGAAATCGTTGCCAAAATTTTATTCAGTATTCACGCCGTGTACGGGCACCCCCAGCATGCAAGGCCTCACAGCACCAGGCACATCCCGGATTTGGCGCACCGGCCCAGGCAACCAAAGCCTCAGCCAATCTCAAGCAAACAACACACCGCAATGCGCCATGTTTGAGCCTACACGTGGAAAACC